ATTCTTTCCCTGCTGTTGTTCAATTATTGCATGAATGCACTAGTTGCCATGACGAATTACCTTTCCCATCATCTCTCACCCCCCGAAATTAGCAGTGAAAGCAGTGCAGTCCTACGACTGTATACGTGATGACGTCATTTTACTTTCCCCAACTCTGGCTGGCCTAAGAAGGGCCCATTGAACTCTGTCCTTCCTCTTCCTCCTCAGGGTGAAAATTCACCTTCAACCATCCTTTCCTTCTGTTACTCTCTCTCACCAGGCTGCAGTTCACAAATTTTAATGCAATTTGGTATTCAGAAAAGGGGCTACACGACTCCTCCTGCAGTTTAGGAATTCTAAACAAAAGGAAACCTCTTTCTGGAGCACAACATAACTGCTCCTGCTCTGCTTGAGGCAGCAAACAGGAGAGGAGAGCAGCTAAGGGAGGATCTGGGTGCATTTCCTCAGGATGGGCCAACCATTGGGGTGGGGCTCCGCTGCTTCCTTTCAAGAACCAGAAGCCGATTCTACGGACTGTTCCCTGCAGGTCCACAAACCTCAAACATGGGAAAACCACTGGATTAAAGCTTAAGGATGCTTACATCTGGACACAGCTGGGGTCAAATTTCCTCCCACGATCCTCCAGCCTGAAAAAGAGTCCAGCCTTTCCCTCCCTGCAGCCTCTCACCCTTCACGGACATGTCCACAGGCTCCTGCAGGCCGTTGTGCTCCACGTGGCACCGATAGCGGTCCCTCTCTTGAGGATCAATCCGGAGGCTGAGCCAGTAGTGGTAGGTCCCGTCTGCATTGGGGGCCACAGACCCACGGAAGGTGTCCTGCAGCCAGACCTCCCCGTCCCTCCTCCAGGAGGCATCGATCTCTTTGGGGTAGAAGCCATCCACGCGGCAGAAGTGAGTTTCCATCCCATCATCGGCCTCCGTCCTGCTGCTCAGTGTCACCACTGGGGCATCTGCAGAAACGGCACCCCCGGAATTAACTCTGAGCCCCCCCAGAGCCCGGAAGGGGGACGAGAAACTTGACGGGCAGGAAAGGCTCCCACTACTTAGTCTTAACGCAGGGAATTAACACTCCAGACCTGCAGCCTCTCCAATAATTTTGGGAAATGCTC